GCAGCACAGAGGAATCAGTATAGAAACACAGAAGTGTCAAAGAGCAAGATCGTTTCAAATAATAAGTGTAATGAAGACAACGTTGCACTTGATGGAGGGGAAGGGCTGCTGTGGGTCACAGAAAGCATTGCTGGGGTGGGAGAGGACATTTCAGCTGGGATCTGGGTAGTGCAAAGTAGCCAGCCAGGAAAAGCTGGGGTCCCAGCATTCTGCACAGAGAAAACAGCCAGTGCAAAGGTCCCGAGGCAGGAAAAGCAAGAAACTGGTGTGACTTGGTTTTTTCAGTTCCTAAAGAGAGTGCTCCAAGATTAGGTGAGAAAGACAGGCTGAAGCCAGGTCATGTAGGATCCTGTCAGCAACACAGAGGAATTTAGAATTAAATGTGGGTGCCCTGGCTTTTAAGCAGGGGAATGATAACATCTGACGTGCTATTTTTAAAAGATCGCTCTGAGGGCTGAAGGGACAGCTCACTGCAGGAGGGGAGGATAAAGAAGTAGGAGACCAGGTCAGGAGGCACCTGGGCAGTGGAGGGTGGGGCTCAGACCAGAGGGGAGCCACTGCGCTGTAGAAATGCAGAAAATCTGCATGGGAGATAAAGCAGGTAAGACTTTCTGGTAAATCTGATTTGAGGGTGAACGATGTTGTGGAGGATGGTCCTATTTAATGAGACAAAGACCAGACATGATGAGATACCAAGAGTTCTCTTAAGGGTTAAATTGGGAAATCTACTCGCCATGCTATGTGGGGAGAAAATGAAGATGCAGCGTCTGGAGGAAACAGATAGGCTCCACAGGCTTGGCAATGCAGTCAGTAAAAACCTAACTGGGCACAGGGTCAACAGGCTTGCTGGGTCCCCTGGCTCTGGCAAAGTTGATGGGGCTCTTTCCTGATGCCCAGACTAGATGACTGTTCCTAACCACATTTGGGTCCCACTTCCTTTAGGAGTCTGTGAATTCTGCATCTGTTCGCAGGAAAATGCACACATTCATTTTTCATCAATTCTGGGGGACTTTAGGAATCCTTGAAGCCAATCCATGGAGTCCTAGCCTGCAGTCTCCAGCTATGCACGCTGAACTAGGAGGGTCTACAACAAAATCATCATTGTCGAAAGCCTAGAGTGTGTGTTAGTGGACATGTGTCACCTTTGCCCAGCATATGAATCCTCCCTCGTCCTAAGAATTGAAGAGGGACTCTTGGGGCAGAAGCTGAGAACACCAGGTTCTCTCCTCTCAGCCTCCTGAGGAGCTTGGGTTTGTGACCCAGATGTGGCCAGTCAGAGATGTACTGTGCATTCTGAAATGGGAGTAAGTCCCTTCTGGAGGTGGGGGCTGCAGGAGGCAGACCAGGTTTAAGGGGCAGCAAACTGTGGGATCTGGGTTCTCTGGTGATGGCAGCGGTGTCCTCAAGGGGTAGATTTAGATATGGGTCTGGCAGCTGCCCAGCCTAGTTTGTTTCTGCTGAATTTCAGAGCTGGCCTGTCTACTTTTTTTTTTTTTTTTGGCCAGGGTCAGGTTTGAACCCACCACCTCCGGTATATGAGGCCAGGGCCTTACTCCTTTGAGCCATAGGTGCTGCCCTGGACTGTCTACTTTCCAGAGGGCTCACTATCCCTGTGAGGCACTTGACATCCTTTCTATAAATTCCTTTTCCATTTATTTATTTATTTTGAGATGGAGTCTCACTATGTTGCCCTCAGTAGAGTGCTATGGTGTCACAGCTCACAGCAACCTCAAACTCTTGGGCTTAGCAATTCTCTTGCTTCAGCTTCCCAAGTAGCTAGGACTACAGGCACCTACCACAATGCCCAGATATTTTTTTTGTTGTAGTTGTCGTTGTTTTAGCTGGCCGGGGCCAGGTTTGAACCCTCCACCCTCAGTGTATGTGGCTGGCACTGTAACCACTGTGCTACAGGCGCTGAGCCTCCTTTTCCTTTTAAATTGGCCAGAGTCTGGCTGTTGTTTGCAACTAAGAG